GAAACCCCATCTCTACTAAAAATACAAAAAATTAGCCGGGTGTGGTGGCGGGCACCTGTAGTCCCAGCTACTCAGGAGGCTGAGGCAGGAGAATGGCGTGGACCCGAGAGGCGGAGCTTGCAGTGAGCCGAGATAATGCCACTGCACTCCAGCCTGGGTGACAAAGCAAGACTCCATCTCAAAAAAAAAAAAAAAGAAAACAGCTGGAATTATAGGCATGAACCACCATGCCCCATCTGTTTTGTTTTTAGAGACGAGGTCTCATATTGCCCAGGCTGGCCTCAAACTCCTGGGGTCAAGAGATCCTCCCGCCTTAGCATCCCGAGTATCTGGGATTGTGGGCACATGCTACCCTCCCCTGCTAGCACTTTTTGTTTTTTGTTTTTTGTTTTTGAGACAAAGTCTCACTCTGTTGCCCAGGCTGGAGTGTAGTGGTGCAATCTTGGCTTGCTGCAAACTCCACCTCCCGGGCTCAAGCAATTCTTCTGCCTCAACCTCCCAAGTAGCTGGGATTACAGGTTTGCATCACCACGCCCAGCTAATTTTTCTATTTTTTTTTTTTAGTAGAGAGCGGGTTTCACCATATTGGCCAGGCTGGTCTTGAACTCCTGACCTCAGGTGATCTGCCGGTCTCAGTCTCCTAAAGTGCTGGGATTACAGGTGTGAGCCACTGTGCCCAGCCTGCACTGCGTTTTAAAAGCCTTGTAGATCCTGACCGTTGCATAGTGTTCTGTAGTTTCCCTTTGTATGCTTTACTTAATTCATCCGTCTGACAGGGGATGCCAAACTGGCTCCCAACTCCTGTTCTCACAAAGAACACCCTGGTCAACGCCCCTGCACATGCCTCTTTGTACACCTGCATGAGAATCTCTCTGGCCTACTTATCCAGGACTGAGAGTGTAAGGTCTTGGCATAAACATACACCTAATTTCAGATTGCTTGAGAGAAGGGCTGTGTCAGTTTACGTGCCTACAGAGGACCAAGTATTTCTGTCTGCCCACATTCTCACCAAACATTGACATTATTCACTTATGAATTTTGACTAAACGTGTGGTCATAAAATGATGTCTAGTTTTTGTTTTTGTTTTTGTTTTGAGACGAATTCTTGCTCTGTCACCCAGACTGGAGTACAGTGGTGCGATCTCAGCTCACTGCAACCTCCGCCTCCCAGGTTCAAAACAATTATCCTGCCTCAGCCTCTGGAGTCGCTGGGATTACAGGTATGTGCCACCACGACCGGCTAGTTTTTGTAGAGACAGGGTTTCACCATGGTGGTCAGGCTGGCCTCAAACTCCTGATCTCAACTGATTCACCCACCTCGGCCTCCCAAAGTGCTGGAATTACAGGTGTGAGCCACGGTGCCTGACCAGAAATCCTTAATTTTTTTTAAGGCTGGTAAAAAAAAATCTTTTTTATTTTTTATTTTTATTTTTTATTTTTTATTTTTTGAGACGGAGTCTCACTCTGTCGCCCAGGCTGGAGTGCAGTGGCCAGATCTCAGCTCACTGCAAGCTCCGCCTCCCAGGTTTACGCCATTCTCCTGTCTCAGCCTCCCGAGTAGCTGGGACTACAGG